ATGATGGCAGGGGTGGGGGTGGAAAAGATAAATACATAAGACAATTTCACATCGTGGCAAGTGCTGTGGAGGGAGGAAAACAGTGCAGGATCCTCTGAGGAGGTTGCAGTTGAGCTGAGACTTGGATGATGAGGGATCAATCTTATGAGCACTCAAAGAAGAGCTTTCCAGGCACAAAGCACAAAGACCCTGGGGCAGGGACAAGTGTGGTGGGTTTGAGAAACAGAAAGCAAACCTGGGCAAGGGTGAGTGAGGCTGGTTGGAGCTGGCAAGACCCTCATCAATTTACCCTAAGAGTCATGGGAAGCTATCAGAGGGGCTGAAGCAGGGGAGTACCATGTTCTGGTTGTTATTTTTAAAAGCTCCTTCCTGCTGCTGGGTGGGGAGTGGATTGGAGGGAAGGAATGAATGGAGGAGGACCAGTTGCAGATGGGCGGTGGCTGGACTAGGGTGGCAGTGCAACTGGAGAGAAACAGAGACAACAGGGCAGGTCCAACTGTACTTTTTAATGAATCAGACATTGAGGGTGAAGGGAAGGGAGGACTCAGGGATGACGCCTAGGGTTAGGTCTGGAGCCACAGTATACAAGGACCTGCCCCAGGGGCATCAGGGCCCCTCTGCGTGGGGATTAGGAGAAGAGAGAGGAGGAAGCCCTGGTCAGTCCAATAAACGCAATCAACTGAAGATAGCTCAGTGGGGGTATCCTTGACGTGGCATGATGGGAGAAGATATTTGTCTGGAATGTGCCTTTTTGGGGAAGTGAGGGAGGAGTTTCTTAGGAGGCAGGATGTGTGTGTATGGGAGTTAGCAATCTGTCTTAATATTGATGGGGTCCAGTTCAGTAGAGACTGCAGAGGGGTAGATGGTTTGGACAGGTTATCCATAAAGCAGCGGTCCCCAACCCTTTTGGCACCAGGGGCCAGTTTCATGGAAGACAATTTTTCCATGGACTGGGGGGCATTAGAATCTCTTAAAGGGCACACAAGAAGCTTTGAAGTTTCCCTTGCCGCTCACCTCCTGCTGTGCGGCCCAGTTCCTAACAGGCCACAGAACAGTACTGGTCTGAGACCCAAGGGCTTGGGGACCGCAGCCATAAAGGACCTGTTTGGATGACTAGAAATGGAATGAGGGTGGTGGATGAGGATAATAAGGTTAGCTGTAACAAACAACCCCCAAATCTCACTGGCTTGGCACAGCAGGGGTGTATTTCTTGCTCACGTTACAGTCCAGTGAGGGTCTGGGATGGGGGTGGCTCTGGTCCATCATTCACTCGAGGCTCCCAGGCTCTTCTCATCATGTGGCACTGCTCTCTTCCACACATGCCCTCTAACATCGCCACCGAATGGGAGGAGGGAATGCAGGATGTATGGGAGATTTTTATGAGTCCAGCCTAAAAATGGCACACATTGCTTCTGCCTTCATTCCATTGCTCAGAACTCAATCCCATGGCATCAGTTTAGCTGCAAGGAAGCTGGGAAGTGTAGTTCAAATTTAGGAGGCCATGTGCTCAGAAGAGACGCACAGGTACTGGTGAACACTAGTGGTCTCTGCCCCAGGCAGGGAGAGTGGCGTCTGTCTCATAGGGCTGGCGGTGACGTGTGTCCTGGTTTGGGGTGGAAGTGTGCTCTCTGAACATACCTTGGAAAGAAGCTGATGTGAGAAGGTGCGAGTGTGCGGTGCACACCTGTGTGCTTTGCAGCGCCACAGTCCTTCCATTCTTTCCCATTCCTGTGGCCTTTCTCCAGATAAGATCTTACTTATCACCACTGAAATAAGCTTGTGAATGCTTTGTCTTCTACAACTTTATTTCCCTATTAAATCTAACCTGGATATTACAGTCGAACTAATCTTCCCAAGACCTGGCTTATGTCATGCCACCCCTGTTCATTAATAACAGTAGCAACAGTTTGTTGGACTTCTGTGTTGAGCGCTTTCACTGTAGTATCTCAATGTATCTCAGCCTTTGTAACAAGCCGGTGAGGTACCATCATTATTTCCTTCATACAAACAGGGTGAGAGGTCCTAGCTGTGCTAACAGGGTAGCCACAGGCCATATGCAGCTGTTTTAGTTAACATTAATTAAAATTAAATACAATGAAAAATTCAGTTCCACAGTCACACTAGCCACATATCAAGCATTCAATGGCCAGGTGTGACTAACAGCCACCGCATGGAGAATGCAGATAGAGGGTATTTCCTTCAGGGCAGAAAGTTCCATTGGGCATTTCTGAGTTAGGGGCACTTGCCCAGGGTCACAGCAGCAAATGGTGAAGCTGCATCTCTGACCCCATTTGAGACTAAAGCCCTTCAATAGCTCCTTATTGCTTCCACGATTAAGAAAGTTTCAGCCGGGCCTTAACCTTCTTGTACAACCTGGGCCACGCCACTGTTACATAATTATTTCTCGTTATTTTCTTGCACAATCTCACTGTCCAGCACATGTTTGCTCATTGCACTCCAGTACTCCCATAATGTCCACTCATAATATTTTTGCTCTCCTCCTTTCTGTCCAGCCAGCTAATGAATTCCTACCTGACCTTTAGGTTCAAATAGCTTAAATATCTCTTGAATCAGTTCCCTTTTTTCTATTCTCACTGCCTCCGCCTGAACCAACTCTGAGGTCCCTCATCCCCTCTTGCATGGCAGCTGTCTGCTGCTGCTAATTACACTTGCTGACATTTATGGAGTACCTGCAGTGTGCTGGCACTCTGCTAAGCACCGACCCCTCACCAGGACACTTTGAAGTAGGTATTACTGTGGTCTCCGTTTGGCAACTAAAGCACTGGAAGGTGAAGTACTTGTCCAACTCATCTGTCTGCTTCTATTCTTTCAGGGGAAGCTCACTCTTGCTCTATTACTCCCAGCATAGTTCTAAAGCACAGAATGGTTACTTCCCTCCCCAGGCCCCATGGGGAGGGGACAGCCTTCTTAGCGGAGCCTGCAAGGACCTTTATGTTCAGAACATTTCTATTCTCAAAACCCACCACTCCACCCTCAAACCTGACAGTCCAGCCACACACTACTTACAGTTGCCCAACCTGCCACGTTATTTCTCCCCTCTGGGCCGTCACAGATGCTGTCCCCACTGCCTGGCATGTTGCCCATCCTGCCAACTCTGAAGCTGCCAACTCTGAAGCACACCCTGGACCACAAGCTTGCTCCCTCCTCTGAAGGTTTGGGCAGCACTTACTCTCTACCTTGGCTCCTAAGGGAGGGCTGGGTGCTGGCCTCCGAGCATCAAAATCACTTCTCATTAAAATAGTAATGTATTCTCCAGGCCGAGTGCAGTGGCTCACATTTGTAATCCTAGCACTTTGGGAGGTCAAGATGGGAGGACTACCTGAGCACAGAAGTTTGAGATAGGCCTGAGTAACATAGCAATATATCTCTACCAAAAATCAAAAAGTTAACCAGGCTTGGTGGCATCAACCTGTAAGGGGAGGATCACATGAGCCCAGGAGTTTGAGGTCACAGTGATCTATGATCATGCCACTGCACTCTAGTCCAGGCAACAGAACAAGACCCTGTCTCAGGGGGAAAAAAAAAAAAAATATATATATATATATATATATATATACACACACACACACACACACACACACACACACACACACACACACACGCTCCAAGATTCAAAATTTAATAGGCAGGGGTGGAGTTTGGTTTATTTATTTTTAAAGAAGCTCTGAGGTTATCTGAGTGAGGCAATGTGGTTTACACTGGTTTACATCCCTTGCTTGGGCAATTCATCATACCCTGCCTAGATTTCTTGTGCATAATTCCCTTTGTTGTTATTTAAATCTCACCCTCATTCATTCACACTCATCTATGCAACAAATATTTATTAAGGGGTAGTATGCCCCCACACTCTTCATGGTGTTGGTGTGAAAAGCGGCACCATCCCTGCGGCTCGTGGAGTTTCAGAAGGGTGTGGCACACGGAATAATGGCCCCTAAAGACGTCCACATCCAAATTAAGCCCAGAGAACCTGTGTCAACTTACACGGCAAAGGGGTTTTGCTGATGTGATGAAGTTAAAGATATTGAGATGATTATCCTGGGTGGTGGGACCCTCAATCAAGAAGGAGAGAGAGCACCACAACTCAAGGCATGTGGGTGGCCTCTCTCTAGAAGCTGGAAAAGGAAAGGAAGCAGATTTTCCCCTAGAGCCTCCAGGGACAAGGCAGCCCTGATGCCCCCTTGATTTTAGCCCAGTGAGACCCATATTTGGATTCCTGACCTACGGAACTGTAAAATAATGTGTTTTAAGTGACCAAATTTATGGTAATGTGTTACAACAGCAAAAGGAAACGAAATAATACTAGCGGTTTGGTTATGTACTTTGCGCAGGTGTGCGGTGGGCTCCCCTTGTATTATGCTAATAGACTGTGAGAGCCTGGGGCAGAGGCCCTGTAGCTGTGCCAGGTTTTCCCTCGCAGCAGCAGCGGGGCGCCGCGGAGCTGAGTGTGCTCCTGCTGCAGACTGTGTCTTGGAATGGTCTGATTCTGAGGGTTGGGGTGATGTTTGGTGAGGACCTGGGAATGAGGCTTGTGCAGAAGAAAAGAAAGGGGAACTGCGGGTGAGAATAGGTGCTTGGGGTTAGAAGGTGACGGACGCAGGGGTTCTCAAACATTAGTGTGCGGAGGAATCTTCTGAGACGTGTCGAGAGGGACGGTTGACAGGGGGACGCGTGGAAGGAATTATATTCACGGTGTATTCTTACATTTCCTAATTTTTATGCATTTTAGCAAGAAACTTAGATCTTAAACGAGTATGTGGTTACTATTTAGAGATAAAATTTGAAAAGTAATCACCGCAGCCTGCTTGTATAAAGGCATATTTCCGGGCCCGGCCCAGGCCCACCTAGCCGGCCACGGCGCGTCTGGGGACGAGGAGCCGAGGACTCTGCCTGGCTGGCAGGCACCCGCCGAGCAGGCTTTGCAAAGCGGGGTGCGGCCTGCGCCGGCGCGGGCGGCCTCCGGCCGGGGAGGGCGCTGTGCCGGCGGCGAGGCGCGGGGGCCGGCGGGGCGGAGCGCCGGGCGCCGGCGGCTCGGGCTGCGGCTCGGGCCCTGCACCTGTGACTCTCGGCCGCGCTCGCCTCGGCCGCCCGGCGTCGCAGCCCCATGGCCCCGTCCCGGCTGCAGCTCGGCCTCCGCGCCGCCTACTCCGGCGTCAGCTCCGTGGCCGGCTTCTCCATCTTCCTCGTGTGGACAGTGGTCTACAGACAGCCGGGGACCGCGGCCATGGGAGGGCTCGCAGGTACGCGGGGCGCCGGTCCGGCTCGGCGGGCGGCGGCGGGGAGCGCGCTGTCAGCTGCTCCGGGACGATCCTCCTGGGCGGCGCTTGCCCCGGGGAGCCGGTGGGGTGTTTACCCGAAAACGCTGGGTGGCAGCGCAGGCCCCGCGCGTGCCCGGGCTCCTGGGCATCCCCGGAGCCCCCGGGACCCGATGCCCGCCCGAGACGCCGCTGCCGTTTGCAGGAGCGTGCCGCGCCGCCCGGCTTCGTCCCCGCGCCCGGTCTGCCGGCCCTGCGCCCCGCCCGGCGCCCGCTTCCCTGGCCACCTCCTTCCCCCAAACACACACACTCGTTCCGGGGATCCTCGTCCCCCAAGCGCCCCTTCCTCGGGTGCTGGGTGAGGGAAGGAAGAGGGCTGGGGAACCCATCTGCCTCCTTCCAGTGTGGAGCCGCAACCCCCGCAGAGCCCTCGGCGGAGACTGGGAGCACGGCGCGGGGGAGCTGATGGAAACTGGACATTTTCTTTCCGCCCACGTTGGTGCCTTTGCCACCCGTCTGCTGTGGCTCCTCCGCTGAGCCCGCCGGCCACCTTTCTCAAGGAGGGAAGGGGCGGCACCGGCGCGCTGGTGGAGGCCAGGTGCGCGACACTGCTCCCTACTTGCTGTGCACCTTTGGCACGAAATTTAACCTCTCTGTGCCATAGAATTGGTGTGAAAACGAAAAATACTATTTCTACTTGCTAACATTTTTTTTCATGCTTTCTATGTTTCAGGCACTGTGTTAAGTAATCTGCTTCCCTTATTTCATTTAATCCTTACATTAATCCTACGAAGTAGGAGTTATTGTTGTGTCCTTTTTACAGATACTCTAAACTGGTTTAGAGTAAATAAATAACTTGCTCAGGGTTACACGGCGACATGAAATAATATGTGTGGGAAAGCACTTTGGGAAAAAAATACATGTAAGGGTAATGCTTTTACATATGATGATCTTATTCTGTTACTAAAATGCTTTGCTAAAAGAGCCCTACATGGAATAACTAAAAATAACTAATTTACTCATTGCCACTGGGGTTTCTGCTTTTTAAGAGGTGCATAGGTAGCCCGAGTCTAAGCAATGCCAAGCAAAGTGCTAGGATCGCCACGGAAGTGCAGGTAGGCACCCTGGCTGGCATGTTCTCAGCCTGCCAAGCCGCCCTGCCACCTGTGGGCTCCTGTCCCCTCCACACCCCACCACCTTCCATGCTCTGCACTGTTCACTTACAGCTTCTTTCCTGTTTCCTCTTGGCCCTGCTGCTTGCTTCCCTTTGGAAGGCAGTGTCAGGACAGGATGGTTGGAATAAGGGGGAAGACAGGGGTGATGGGGGAGGGCCGTCCCTGGGACCCCAGCTGGGGTATGCTCGGAGCCTGGCCTGGTGGAAGTAGAGGTGAGCGGTTCCTAGCCGTTGTGACCTGGGGCATACCAAGGCTTCCTGGGCCACAGTTTCCTCTTCTGCAAGGAGTGGGAGAGTCCCCTGAACTGGCTAGCTGACTTCCCTCCAGGTCTGAGGTGTTGCGGTTCTTCTGTCCACTCCCTGAATCCTCCATCTCCAGCTGCCTGTTAGAAAGTTGTGGAAAAGCCTTCTTTCTTGTACTCTGGGGAATTGCCGAGAGTTTCCCTCTGGCCCAAACTCTGTCCTCTCTCCGTCCCCACGGCTTCCCTTGGCCTCTGAGGCAGGCCAGCTGTGGGCTGTGGCGTTGCCTTCAGGGAGAGAGGCTAGGGCAGCAACCACTTGGAGTAGGGCCCTGGCGTTTGACCTGGCATTTGACCTTTGGCAGTGGCCATGGAAGAACCAAAACTACGTGGTGGTAGATGGCGGTGGTGGTGCACGGTGGCGGGGAGAGGATGGCCAGGCCAGGGCCATGTACCTTCCCCACCCCAAGTGGGTTCTGAGAGAGTCTGGAGCCAGTCAGCCTTCTTCCCCTTTTGGGGGTGAAGTGTCAGCGGATTTACTGACTTGTGAGCACCTCACTTCTGACTTGGCACTTTCCAGCCCAGAAACTGCTGAGTCACTAGGGGGTAGCCCTAGCATGCTCCTTCTGCCCTGTGTTAGACCAGGCAGGGGCTGGTTGGGTGTGCTGGTTTCTGGGGCCAGGGCAGCCATGGAGCTCTGGTTCCAATGGGCAAAGAGTTTGTGGGTGAGGACACAGTCTCCCAGCCTGGTGGGTATCTGGCAAAAAGTGTCTTTGAAGAAAGGCTGGTTTTGCTGGGGAGGCACAGGTTGGACCCACCTGCTCTGGCTTTGCTGGGGGGGGGGAGGGGGGGGCGGGGAAAGAGACTCTTGCTCTAGGTTTAGTAAGCCAAGGAAAGAGAAAAAGAATAGTTGCCCTAGGAGACCAAATTGCTCTGTATTCTTCCCATGTGAGCTACAGAGGGCTGGAGTGCCCGACTGTAGAGGGGCCCGACCCAGGCCCAGTGTCCTGCTTGTCTGCATCTGCGTTTCCCCTGGGAGCTCCCTTGGCTATTTTCTGTCTTCTCACCTCCAGCCCAGCTGCTGGGGATGCTTTCACCACCCGGTCCTGCACCTTCCTTGCCCTTAGCTTGTCAGCTGTAAGCCTAGAAGCAGAGCAGGGGCCCTGCTCCTTGCAGCAGGTGGGGTGGAGTTAGGGTGTGGTCTGGCACAGGCTTGCAGCCAGGGGGGCTGGTGATCTGTCCATTCTTCCAAGAGCTGTGTAGACCAGGCTTGCTGGAGTCACGGAATATCCTAGGGAAGGGTGCAGGGCTGAGGGACATTGCCTCCTGCCTGAGGGGTGGGAGGGGACCTATGAGGGCTCCAGCTTACTCAGTGAGCCCTTTGGGTAGAGCTGGTAGGGAGGTCTCTTCCGATGAGGGTGGTGGGAGCCAGGGTGGTGGGAGTGGTCCTGCCTCCAGACTAGGCGAGTGTTTATCTGGATGTGAGGCCTGTGTGCAGGGCCTGGAGCAGGGTTGAGGGGAGGTGAGAGGCGGGTAAAGTCATGATTGCTTATTAACAAAGAACAGGGCCCCAGAACACCCCAAACGGCCGTCTTCCTCTCCCTCTTGGCCTCAGCCCTCTTGGGTATGTGTGTGTACATGGGGGTGGGAGTTTTGGGGAACTGCTGGGTCGTGGCCAGTGGACTAAGCTGGCATCTTCAAGAGCCTCTATTTCGGCATTTCCTAACCCAGAAATTGCTGAGTCACAGAGGAATTGCTCTGACCTCCTTATTTTTCTCCTAAGCTGGTTTCCAGAATCTTCAAGTGGGAAAGGACCTTGGAGCTCAACTTCCCCAGCCCTTCTGTGGCGTGAGGAGACAGAGGGCGAGTGGACCTGTCCCAGACAGGTGCCCATTTGGCTGTTCCTTGAATGTACTCAGTGACAACAAGCCTCATCCCTAGGGCCCTTTAAGAAAACAAACATCTCCTTCAAGTGAAAACTTAGGATGATGTGAGAGAAGTGGGACTTTTGAGGACAGTGGCTGGTGTAAAATCCAGATCATGTAGGATGTAAGCAGCAGCCGTGGGATTATATTCTGTCCACGACTGGCCTGCTCCAGCTGCCCGACTAGGCAAGGATGGAAGATGCTTATCCCTAATCTCAGGGGTGAGGAGACCCACTTTCCAGGCCCCCAAACCCTGAGGATGGGGGCAGGGGCAGAGCTGGGAGAGTGTGTGGGAGGGGAGGCTTGGGGTTGGTGGACCTCTGCTCTCCCTAGGGTAGAACTCTAGGGTCCCTGATTATCCAGACTGGCGGGACCTCTGGGCTCACCCATTTTTAGATGTGGAAACACCAGGACTCTGGGGCATGCCAGCACCAGGCCTCAGGTTTCCTGGCTCGCAGGCTCGTGGGTTTTTGTCCCTCACCAGGCTACCTGAATTGCGACAGCTTCTTAGTTGGTATCCAGAGTTTGGCTTCATGATAACTAGCTTCTTCTTGCCTTTTTTTCCCCCTTCACTTTTTAAAAAATTATGAAATATTTCAGGCATGTAAAAAAGAGTAGACAGTTTAACAAAATCCTTATATTCACTACTCAGCCTAAGCAATAAAATAGCATAGATTCAGTCAAAGCACTCCCTACATTACCTCCCTATCAACTTCCCTTCCTCCTCTCCATTGACAGAGATAACCACTCTTCCTGGCCAGATGCTCATCCTTCCTTGTATGTTTGAGAGACTACATGCAGTGTATGCCACCCCCTTTTGCAGAGGCCTCCTGACTCCTAGGGCACAGAAGCCTGTGTGGCCCACACCCTACAAGCCAGCAGGTGGAGAGCTTGCAGCTGACTCTGCCGCTTTCCTCATTCCTCCTTTGCTGGGACCCCATGGCCCCATCCGGACCCTTGCCAATGGAATTGATATTCGTTCCACTCTTTGGGCTGTGCTAGCAGGCACTGCCTGGCACAGAGGGTTGTTTTGTATTGTATTGTATTGTATTGGCCAAGTGGCAGCTGGCATCCTAGGGGAAGTGCACACCCAGGCCCAGAGGGCAGGCCCAGGAAAGGCTGGGGGTGTTTGGCTTGCCCTAAGCTGCAAACTAGAGGGAGTGGCATGAGGTCTGGCCAATAGCAAGAAGGCTTCTTGGGTGCTGGGTGGCCCTGGAGTCCTCATGGCTGGGCCTTCTTATCCTGCAAGACCAATGCAGGGAGTTTGGGAAGAGCCCTGCTGCCTAAGAGCCCAGCTATAAGCCTTGAAACTTGGATGTTGTGGCCTCCAAGGGCCAGGTGGAGGAAGAGCGTGGGCCGGGAGGATGGCCCCGGGACAGGGTGGACAGTGGGAAGTCCCGGGAGAGCAGGCTGGGCTGCTGAGGTTCTCAAACTTTCTGATTTCAGGACCCCTTTATGCTCTTGAAAAGTAGTGAAACTCGAAGCAAAGTTTGTTTACATGGGTTATATCTATGGACATGTACCATATTAGAAGTTAAAACCTAGAACACTTTTCAATACTTGAAAGTAATACTAAAAATAATATTGAGTTAACAGCATAATAACATTTTTGTGAGAGATATTCATCTTTTCAAAACAAAAACAATCAGGGAGAAGAATGCAGGGTTTTCTATTTTTGCAAATCTCTTTAATGTCTGGCTTGCTAGCAGGCAGCTAGAGGCTCTTATCTGCTTCTGCATCTAAGTCCTGGTGATACCATGGGCCCTGTCCAGCTCCACGGGAAGCTGCACTCTGCAGTCACGAGGGAACCAGTGAGGAAGGCCAGCATTCTTAGTATTCGTATGCAGATAGGCCTGGCCTAGTGGACTCAAAGAGCCCTGGGGATCCTGGAGGCCCCCGGGCTGCTGCGTGGTGGCTGGCGGGCGGGGTGCTGACCCAGTCTTTCCCGCAGGTGTGCTGGCGCTGTGGGTCCTGGTGACGCACGTGATGTACATGCAGGATTACTGGAGGACCTGGCTCAAGGGGCTGCGCGGCTTCTTCTTCGTGGGCGTCCTTTTCTCGGCCGTCTCCGTCGCCGCCTTCTGCACCTTCCTGGTCTTGGCCATCACCCAGCACCAGAGTGAGTGCCACCGCGAAGAGGCGTGGAGGGGCAGCGCGGGGCTTAGGAATAGACCCCGGGACTCCTGTCCTGGTTCCGCAGCTCACGTCCAAGGGACCGCGTAGACCACTTAGCCTCCCTGAGCGTGGGTAGTTTTATCGTGAAAGTGAGGAGAATGAGTCCCCATCCCTAGCGATGGGGGTGTTCAGTGAGAATGCGGGAAGTGTTGAGCACTGCCCATGCGCATTAGCTATTGGCACCGCTCAGTCTCTGTCCAGCTCTGGGGTCGGGGCGCCCTCTGGTGGCGGTGGCAGAAAGTACCCAGAGACCTTTCTCCCTGCCCGCGGGGAATCCGATGCTAACTAAAGCAGGTTGCAGCTGGCATGGGGTACATGTCACAAAAGCAGAGTGCATGATACAGACCTGTGCTTGGCCAGCCCTGCCATTCCCTCACCCCCACGATCTCCTTCCTGCAACCCCTGGAATGCTCTGAAACCTCTTTCACACTCAGGTCTTTCTGTGGGGACGGTTCAGCTGCCGGGATGTTAAGCAGCTGGCCTTGTGGCATGGTGCTGGGGCTGAGAGCGGGGCCCCTCTTGAGTCACTGTCGGGCTCCTCTCCCTGCAGGCCTCACAGACCCCAGCAGCTACTACCTCTCCAGCGTCTGGAGCTTCATTTCCTTCAAGTGGGCCTTTCTGCTGAGCCTGTACGCCCACCGCTACCGGGCCGACTTTGCAGACATCAGCATCCTCAGCGACTTCTGACCCAGGGGTGAGGTCTCTGCACCCTGGGGGTCCTCAGGACCTGGACTTAGTCTCTTGAGACACTGGGGGGGCCTGATCCCACCCCCTTGGCACCCCAGAACTGTGGCAGAGAGTGCACAACAAGACGAGTGTGGTCTCCAGGAAGCTGTCAGGGGAGACCTGGGTGTGGTGGAAAACATGGCTCCTGGCTGGCCTGCCTGGAGGGCAGCTTCACACCTTCTCCAGTGGATGCTTCCTTCGCACTCAGTGAGGAATCTTTGTAGGTCAAGGGGTAGGACCAAGAGGCCTTGACCTACGCTTGGGGGCCGATGAGTCTGAGATGCGACACTGGGCTCTTTCCCCAAGGCCTGGGGGGCTGAGTGGAGAGTTCACTGTCCCTCCTCCTGCCCTCCCACCCTGAGCTGGTCTCCCACGAGTGTGCTAGAGCCAGAAGCCATCGGCCTCTCCCTGCCACCCCCAACATACAGAGGCATCCCCACACCCCAACACGGGACTCCCCCAACAAGGCCAGACTAAGGGTCACTGAGAATGTGCTCCTGCCCCTGGAAGGGCTGTGGGGAAGGGGGCAACATGGTATAGGCTAGAAGGAGCCCCCTAAACCTGTACTGTGTACCCCCCGGCCCTGCATTTCCACTCTGCCTCCTCAGAGTACCATTGCACCCAAACCCCCGGCCATGAGGTACCTTTTCTCCCACTCCAGCCCCTGCTCACTGCCCTTCAACTAGAGCTTTTATCTTTTTAAATCTCCCTTCTGAAGGACTAAGTCTGCTTTCCTGCCCATACACTGGCCCAAGGGCTCACCTAACTCAGGAGGGAGGGGCCTGTCGTTACCTAGATCTTTTTACCTTAGGTTGCCATTTTGCACGGTCTACCCCTCTCCCATAGACCCACGATTGTGTCCCGCCCCTCAGCTCTTTGCCTTATCTGTGTCACTGTCACTTTAGCAGAAATACAGCAGCCATTTCTATCAGACAGCCTCTGGTGGTTACTTGCGGGGAGGGAATCTGGAGGGGGGATGGACTAGGAGGGGTGGGCGGGGCGGAGGGTGGTAATAGATCTCTCGCTATCGGATCAAACCATTTCCCTAGTCCACGTTGTAGGGAACAAGCAGCAGCTAGGATGCCCACGCACCCAGCCTCAGCAACCCCCCTGGGATCTGGTGTCCGTCACATGAGAGGCCAGGCCAGATGGGAAAGGGACTAGCACCTCTTCCCTTCACGCCTGCCAGGCTGCTGAGGGCCTGGGGCCAGGTCTAAGGTAAGGAGGTGCTGCTCTTCCTGCTGGAAAAGCCTGGCAGACTCGACTGCAAAGGCAGGTGCTGGCAGCCCTGGCGCCTTCCTCTCTGCTTATACCGGCCACGCTTGCCCGGGCCTGTTGCCTCGCCCATTCTCTCTTCTAGGCTCGGTGTATGCTTGAGAAGTCACAGCACATTAGAGCAGAAGGAACTGTAAACAGTATGTTTCCGGAGCCTTTTGCTGATAAACAGAGGCCTCGGAAGGTGATGGGACTTACCTGAATTCCCAGCTGGGACTTGAACCCAGGGGTGTCTGATCCATGACTCGCTAGGGCTGAGCACCTGTATTCCTGCCTCCCCCGTCCCAGGGCTGGGCCCTATGTCTGTGGACTCAGCCCAGGGCTGCCTCTTTATCACCCCACAGTGGGGCAGGGGGGATAGCTGGGGTGTGTTTAGAATGGGTTCTTCCTGCAGGGCAGTGGCTGTGTAAGAGCAAGGAGCTAGACAGGGCTGCAGCCCAGCCCGGCTCATCCCTTGCTCTGGGCTCCGAGTGGGACACACGCTGTGCGGTGCAGCTGCGTCCGTGTGCACGCACACGCAACGGCACGGGCCCTTTCACAGGCACTTTTAAAGCAAATAAAACATTTATTCAGATTTTTTTTCCATTTTTTTTTCCTTTTTTCCTTTTTTACAAAAACATGCATACATACACAGGGTATGGTGAGTCCTGGGGAAGACGCACACGCACACGCACACTCCTCACTCGCACACGCTTACGCACAAACGCTTTCCTTCTTGGCCCCAGGCCTGGCCCCCAAAAGCCTTGAAGACTTTGCCAGGGCAGCCTCCCCTCCTGCGTCTTGTGTCCGCTCTCCAACTCCTCCCCCACAGCCAGGCTAGTCCCACATGGGACAGGAGTGAGAGCTGGGGGGAGACCCCAGAAACAAGGCTCATGGAGGGAGCAGCATCTGGGGGGTCCCTGGGGGTCACACTGTGCTTCTGATGGGAGATGAAGGGTTTGGCACCATTGGATCAGGAAGCCCAGGACTCCAAGAGCACCTGTCTGCTCCACCAGGGCCGAGATGGTCAATGCAGGGCGGCCTCCGGCGGGGGCAGGGACCAGATGGAGCTCTGCTGACAGCTGCTCTCAGGGGGAGCTTCGTCTCAGTGCCCAGTGTTGCAGGGAAGCTTCCAGAGTCTTCCGAGGAAGCAGGTGAGAGGAGGGACCCCCTGTACTCAGGGATACAGGACCTCTTGGCCCCCTGCCTACCTCCAGCCCACAGAGCCTAGGAAGGGCCACCCTGGCTGAGGCCAAGTTCACATTTCTGTGTGGAGCCTGGGGCTGTGTGCAAAGTCTGGGGTCTGCAGAGCCAAAAATAGTGGTTAAGTGTGGGCCCGACCGAGCCAGTCCTCCTCTGTGCAGTCCTGAGGGACGTGGGCCACCGCCTGGGGCCCAGACACCGAAGGGGTAGATCTGTTCTTGAGAGAGCTGTGCTGGGGCCTGGCTGCCCAAACTCCTCTCAGGGTCCTCTCTGGTGCCCGTCCTAGACCCAGGGGCCCTCTCAGCCTCCCTGTGGTGACTGTCAAGGCAGGCAGGCTGTTCTCTGGCCCAGACCCCCTGCCCTCAGGATCTCTGAAGATCCAGGAACGGGGGCTATTGCCAGAGATGAGAAGAGAACCGGGTCCGAAGGGCAGGGTGGGTAGACAGAAGGTTCCGAAGCCTTAGAGATTCATTGGTTCCTCCTCCTCCACCAGCTGCTCTGAGGGCCTGGAGGGAGGGACAAGGTGGGGTGCCGGAGGGCCGGGGCCTCAGGAAGGGCTGCAGCTAAGCTTCCCTCCCAGCGCTGGTCAGGAAGCCGGGGGGGGGGGGGGGGGCCTGCACCGGGGATCTGGGGGCTTCTAGCAGGGAGGATCAGAGGCGTGGAGAGGTCCCAGGCCCAGGTTCTGGCATTACCTGTCTTCAGCCAGGATGCCCACAGAGAGGGATGCCAGCGCAGTCACTGCCTCTACTTCTTCCGAATCGGCCCTCAGTCCCCGGGGCACCCAGGAGTTGGGGCAGGAGGCCAGGCGCTGCATGCAGTCCCAGTATTTACCTGGGGCGAGAAGCTGGTGAGAGAGGGCCGGGGAATGCAAGTCCCTCCGCGCTGCGCCCTACACCAGACACAGGCGTCTCAGGCCAGGACCCAAGAGCAGCGAGCCCATCCTCAGCGTGGGGTCAGCTCTCCCAGCTGCCCCTCCCCGCCAGTCACCCTCCTCCCCGCCCCCGCCCAGCCCTGACAGGGTGAGCACAGCAGGTTCCACTTGGCCCTGAGGGGATCCTAGCAGGACCAGGCCTTCCTCCCATGCCCTGTGGCTGAAAGGCCACCTCAGACCCATTGTCCTAGGTGTGGGTTCCTGAGAGCATTGGGATGACCCACTTCCTTGCATACGGGGTCCTTGTCAGAGTGACCCCACAGATCCCGAGCCCTGGCCTCCTACAGCACGAGGTCCTACTCACGGTGTCACCACCAGTGCCCGGCCCAGCACCCAGGGAAGGAGAGTGTGGGAGCTGGGGTGAACACAGCGCTGGGAGAGCTGACTGTCCCACAGCCACTGTGTGGGCTGCCACTGCCCCACCCAGGCCATGGGGGTGTTTCGAGGGCTGATGTACAGGGAGCCCGCCCAGCGCACAACCTTCCAGCCTGAGGCCTCCACAGAAAGAACCAGAGTCTCTGCTGTTATACGCACTTCCTTTCCCCAGCCCTTTATTCATTTTTATGTCCCTAGCATAAACTCTGGCTCTTTACATAAAGTGCTCAACACATGTTGGGCTGAAGCTGAAAACTTAAAAGTTCTTTCCAAATGTGGGTGTTATTCTGAGGCCCGGCCCCCAGACAGGCAGCACCCCCACGGCGCCCGTGGCCACGAGCGGGGCAGGGGTGGCGACTCGGCCTCTGGCAAACAAGGCCTGAGTGTTGCATCGGCCTGGCCCTGGCCGAGGGCTGTGGCTACAGAGGGGAGGCCAGTCCCTGCCTCGAGGAGGCCCCTGTCTGGCGGCCCCTGCTGTGTCTACCTGGAGGGCTCACAGGTGCCCACTCATGGGGGGCTGCCCACCCTTACCCCTGGGGGGACTCAGGAATCTTACTCCAGACCAACAGCAGGTCACCTGGTTGGCACTGGAAGCCCTGGAGCTCCGGCCACTGGGGACAGTGGATCTTTGAGGTTCTTTCAGGTCTGGGCTCGGTGACTGTCCTATCTCCACACTTACTGTGTGCCCGGATCACGGCTTCCAAGGATCGGATGGCATTGAGGTTGGGTTTCTGTTTCCAGCCTTCTTCTGAAAGGGGATCCACCTACAGAAAACAGGACCTCAGCCACCAGTCTCTCAGGCACCCACAGGCCCAGCTCTCTCCCACCCCAAGGGCCCCAGCCCTCGGGCACAAATGGGCACAGGTGCTAGCTACTCCTAGGTCAGGAGGTGCTGGCCCTAGACCTGACTTGGGGAAGAGGCATCCACTTTGCCTACCTCGTTTCAGACCTGGCCACTCCTGCCCTGTCCCATCCCGTCTGCCTGCTCTTCGGCCGTCCTGGGGAGCCGGGTTCACCTGCCCCACAGAAGTTTGGGTGGGGGAGGGGGACAGCTCACCTTGTTGCCCAGCAGAGCAGCCACACAGGCCTCAGAGGCGTCACAGATGGCTGTGAGGTCATGGCCACCCTCCAAGGCCAGCACCACCGCGCCTCCTGCCAGGTTCATCAGCTGCTGTGTCATGTACCCAAAACCTAGACGGCCGGGTGGGGAGAAATAGGAGGGGACAAGGATGGAGGAGCAGTGGCCCATTCTCTACCCCCGTCTCCCTGCTTGCTTCCTCCCTTGTAGATAATGACTGAAATGCATACGTCACTAGTCTCCAAAGTGCTTTCACACTGAATCCCACGCAAGGCTCAGAGACGTTTGGGGACTTGAGAAAGGCCCCACAGCTAGTCAGCAGCAGCAGGGCTAGGACTTGAACTCGGGGCATCGACTCCAGCCCGAGTCTTTTTCACGGAACCATGCCATCCCCTCTTTCCGTCCTCCGGGCCCTGTGGCCCACGGGGCTGAGGGAGAGGACGCAGCCCCTCCCATCCTCCCTGTGGAGGAGCGGCCAGCCCCACCTGCAAACAGCTCAGCTGGGCTGGGGAGTTCTGCGGCTGAGCTTTCTGTGTGTCAGACCGAAGTCCCCAGGGGGCTGACCTGGTCAAGCCCTCCGTGGTGAACAGGCCTGGGTCCCAGAAAGGGCCTGGGCTGTGCAAAGCCAGGAGATCCCAGGGAATCCCAGGGCCAGCTGCCACACTGCAGTCCTCAGGCTCACGGCCCTGGGCCAGCCACTGCTGCCATCCCCTTTAGACTTGGGCAGTGCCTCCCCACCCCCCACAGCCTGGCTCTCCGTCCCTACACCTCCTCCTCAGCTGGGGCCCCCTTACATTTGGCAGAAACGTGGTAGCCACCCAGAGGGGCTGGGTGACCCTCGGCAGCGTCAAACCCAGCTGACACTAGGACCAGATCTGGAGAGAACTCTCGGGCGATGGGCATGACAACCATCCTGTGAGGTTGCAAGGAAAAGAGGGGTCACCACACTGCACAGCGCTGCTGAGGGCAGAGGCCAGGGCCTGGCCATCTTTGCTGTGGGGTGCCCTGCTCTTAGGGCTCCAGGACACCGAGTCCCCCAGCAGGATTAGCAGGTCCTCTGCCTCCTTGACTTTGGCTGGCCACTTGCGTCCCTGGCACACAGCCTGAGGACTCAGCCCCCAGGGAATGAAGGAGGAGTGCATGTGTATCTGTGGGTGCAGTGAGCAGGGCACAGGGAAGGAGCATTCTTACAGCCAGCTGAAAGGCTGGGAACTGGCCCAGGAACTGCAAACGCTGGGTGCTGTGGACCAAGTGACTGAGCACTGTGGCATTCAGCTACTCAACACTGGAGTGCTGACCAGGGCAACTAGGTCCTGGGCCTCTGAGGTCCTGGGCCACTAGCTCCATTCGCTCATCCCCTCCCCTGCCGGCCCCCCACTGCTGCCTCCCTCTGGCCCTGACCCAACTCTGAGGTCCACTTTGGTGTTCTTCAAAGCCCTGGGATCTTGGCACAGACACCAGGAACTCCCGTCCAGGGATCCTGCAGAATTAGCTCTCGTGGAGAATATCTACAGAAAACTTTGGAGACCTACTTCCAGAGTTCTCTTTTCCCACATGGAGTGCAGGGCCCCTAGTGTGAAGTATGTAAGGGCTCCTGAACAGAGCCTGAGCCCCTCTTCCAGATCCGGAGTGGCTTTTCTTGAGGTGCTCCCCCAACAGGGACATCCTCTGCTTTTCCTCTTCCTCCCCAATTTAAGTTTTTCCTCTCCTACTCAAAGCCCACCTCCTCCAGGCAGCCTCCTCTGACTAAATATGGCAGCTCTGCTCACTCCACCCTGCCTGTCTGGCGCAGTCCGTCAACATTGGCTCTTGCTAATGTGGGACTTTATACAGCACCCTTTGACTTCTGTGTGTGTTCTGTCTTTCCACTGGAGTTTGTCTACAATGTCTCGTAACCGGTGGGGACATGGTGACAATCCAACTGATCGCCCCTAACCGGCTGCTGTTGGGAAAGGGGCAGGAGAGGGTGGCCTTCCTCCTCTGGGGGCCCCAGAGCACTTACCTGAAGGCGGCCAGGTACTCAGGATCCCCCATGGGGGGGTCCAGACCACCAGCCCAGGCCACATTGACGTTGAAGCCCTCACCGCTTCCAGCCCCTACCTGGGAAACAGACGCAGGGAGACATGAGGGAGACATGAGGAGAGCAGAGCCCCAGGAGGGGAAGCCCAGATACCAGGCCAGTCCATCAGCCTCCTCACTTCCAGATGGGGAAGCCAAGGATCAGGGAGGCTAAACGATCTGCTCAGGGCCACACAGCTCGTGGTGACGAAAGCAGATTAAGTGCCAGGAGGAGAGTCAACAGGGTGGGAGGATATGGCCCCACCGTGTGGTCACCTCATCCACAGCCCCGCTGCCTGGGAAGAAGTTGCCATCATCATGGCGATGCAGAGAGATGTAGAGCACGCTGGGGTCTTGGTAGAAGGTTTGCTGGGTGCCGTTGCCATGGTGAACGTCCTGCATAGGGAGATGGGCAGTGGATTAGGGGAGGCACGAAAGCAGAGATATGGGGACCAGGACAGTTAAAAGGGTTTCAAGGTCAGTAGCCATTCTGAGGGTCGGGGCTCTAGACTGGAAACTGGGGTTCCTAGAGCCATAGTATGAAATCCTAAAGGAGGGAGGCATCTCCATCTCTGAGGAGGCAGCCACGGCAGGCCGGCCCACATGAGACAGAAAGCATGTGGCGGGGGCAGGAGTGATTAGTGGCAGAGAGAGAAGAGACCAGGATTACACACATCGGGAACCCTCGCCGCCATGTCCTGCACGAAGTCATAACGTGACGCAGGCGAACAGAAACTGAGCTTATTATGGAGGGGCAGGTCCCTGGCCTGGCCCCACCCCTCCTAGGAAGAGCTGAGCCTACAGGTGACTCACAAGACCAGGCATGGGCTCATGGGCAAAGTTCCTCCACGGTTTTCAACTTCTGCTTTGCTGTGTCCCTTTCACAGCCATCAGTGCAGAAGGGACATAGCTTAGTAGTTAAATACGTGCACTCTAGAGCTAACCGGCCTGGGTTCAGATCCGTCTCACGGCTTACGAGGTGAGTGAGTGTGTGCAAGTCACTTAATTGTTCTGTGCTCACTTTCCTCATCTGTAAAATGGGTTACAGTCAGGATTAAATCCATCGCTGTAAAACCATCAGTGTCTGGATGTGATTAGTGGAACACTGATATTATCTGCTATTATTCTTATCATAACTACCTGTAGGGGAAATGCAGACATTATTAGATCTGCCAAAAGAAGACAGTAGAGGTTAAAAGATAGCACTCAAATGAGAACTCCAATCTGCTGTGGGAGTTCGCTTTGGCTGAAGGCCTTCCCACACACCATGTCCTCTGGGCCTCCCAACAGCCCTGTGACATGAGTGTTATCTTCATCGGAATTTTACACAGGGGAAACTGAGGCTCAGAGCAGCTAGCGCAGAACTAAGACATGGAACCACATCTCTTAACGCCGGGCTGCGGTCCCTCCCCACAGGACTCTCGGATCTGAGGTGCAAGGGCAGGCACCTACCCAGTCCACAATGAGGATCTTGCTGGCTTTGCTCTGTTGCTGCAGCTGCCGGCAGGCGATGGCCACGGAGTTGAAGAAGCAGAAGCCCCTGCGGGGAGGAGAGAGAAGTCCCGCTGGCCCTTTCCCTCCCCACGACCCCACCTCTCTGGCCCCTTCTCTCCCCCAGCCGCTAGCTTGGCCCAGCCCCAGAAGGCTCAGGGAAGGAGGGGAATGTCCCTGCAGGAAGGCCCTGGGGGCCTGCCCCCCACCTCACCCCACCCAGGCCTCCCCTAGGCCTCACATAGCCGTGGAATGATCCGCATGGTGTCCTGGGGGCCGCACCACGGCAAAACCGTTCTGGAAAGAGAAAGAACGCGCTAACCCTCATCGCCACGTACCAGCTCCCCAGCCCCAGCCTCCTCCTCTGAGAAGGGGTCACAGGGCATCAGCTGCCAGCATGTCTGACCCTGTCCATGTGGAGCCGAAGTGGCCCAGAGCTGGACCCTCATGCTGCAGGCCCTCTGCTTACAGGCTGCACATGAACACAGAGCCCCTCATCCTGGGGTGACCCAGCTATTATCACTTGGCAATGACAACTGCTACTGATTGTCAAGCAAAAATGACACACTTGGCACTGCCAAACACTTCGTAAATGCCGGACTTCATCCTCACAGCATCTCTGTGAGGTTGTTACCTAATCCTCCGTATGACATCTTCATAAGACACACACTATCATCTCCAGTCCACTGATTAGAAGTCTGAAGCTCAGGTGAGCTAAGCGACTTGTCCGAGGTTGTCTGGTTGTGAATGGTAGAGCCATGTTTTTCAGCTCCACTGAGGTGCTCTGACACTGAGGACACTGTGACTGCCTTGGGCTATACACTCCTAGACAACCGGGGTGTGGGCCGCAGGACATGTCCCATAAGATGCGCAGCCCAGAGCAAAAAGCACAGGCACCAACCAGTCTACATAAACTCAGCACTGGAGGGCCAGCGACATCCCAAGACTTGCTTACAGCCACACAGTGGACCTTAAATCATCCTAGATGATCAGAACCCTGTGTCTCCTGGAGACCAGAGGTCACAAGCAGCTTGCCTCCCTGCTAAGTAACATGAACCTAGGGTTGAAGTCTCAACCTGGTCCCTAGAGCCTTCGATTTTCCTCCCAAACCCGTGTGGCAATATCCAAGAGGAACGAGACATCTGGGGTCCTGGGCCTGGATTCCCCACTGTTCCACCCTATTGCCTCCCTGTGGTGGGCCCACCTCAACCCAAACTTCCTACCTTCAGCTCACGGGAAGCCACTTTGAAGGCGAGTTCGGTGACACTGCCAGCGGCCCAGCGGGCTGCATTGGAGGAATGCAGCTCGTTCCAGATGGTGTCAGTATCCACCTGCAGGAGCCAGAGTCAGGGCCCGCATCATCCAAGGCTTCACACAGGAGCCGCGGCCCCATGGGGCAGACCCCACCCAAGGGCCAGGACCCCAGGGGCAGGGAGCTGGGCAGACAGCGCTGCCTCCCCAGTGCCCCACCGCCCAAAGGCAAGGCCTCCTGTGTCCCCAATCCCAGCACAACTTCTCCTTCCCAGCTTAAGTCCCAGAACCAGCCCATATCTGGCCAGCACTCTGCCGGCAGCATCGCACCTGCCTCCCCGGTCAGGGGAGGGGGCATGGCGTTACCTGGGCGGGACTTGGGGTTTGGGCCGGGAGGGGGTTTTAAGCCCCAGCTGACTCTGCTCAGGCCCTGCGGGATGGTCGGAGCTGGAGGGGCCGTCTGCACCACTGTCTTCCACTCAGGGCCCCTAGCCCAGGCTGGCAGGCCCCCCAAACCCAGTCCCTGGGCCTCAAGGGGGGCATGATGGGGAGATGGGGAGGGCGAGGCAGACCAAGAGAGGCGAGGAAGGCAGAGAGAGTCGCAAGAGGCTGGAGAAAGAGAGAAAGAGAGAAAGACAGAGAGGGAGAGAGGGAGGAGAAAACAGAAGCAACAACAGTTGGAAAAATCAGAAAGTGGCAAGAAATGGGAAGTTGTGAACAGGGCTCTGACTGGCTCCCAAACAGCCCCCCACCAGCTAGAGCTCCCACTTTCCCTCAGAGCGAGGCCTCCATCCCCTGCCTCTACACACCTTGCTTGAGAAAGCACTGCAGGGACATTTCTAGGTGAGGAAAGCCGAGCCAGAAGGGGCAGGAAGCCCCTCCCGCAGGTGAGGGGTAAGCAAAGCTGGGGGTAAGAGGGCTGCGTCCTGGGGTAGGGAAGTGCCTGGGTCACCAAGGACACCAGAAGCACCCTACAGCCCCACGCCAGGCAGTCCCAGGTCTGGAGACCAGCCTTACTCTGCCATGGACTGGCCAATGCCCAGCCACTGGGGTCTCAGGAAGGGAGATGATCCCAGCACAGTCTTGGCCCTGCTCTTTAAGCCTCACTCAGCGTCCACCAAACACCTTCTCAGTGCAAACCTAGACTGGCCTCCAGCTGGGGAGACACGATGGCTGGGACACCCTGGGCCCTGAGGGGCTTCCAGCCTGCAGTGGGCATCGTGGGGAAGTCCCTGGCTGCCCAGCCCAGCAGAAGCACAAGAACAAGCAGGCAGGGGCTGGGCCTGGGAGAACCGAAGGGGGGAGATCCGAGAGCCCCTGGCAATGCCCGCTCGAGGCCCTGGGCACACTTACCCCAACCCCACCACAGGGCAGCATCACAAACATCCGCTGTGCCAGGAGCCCTGTGGGGAGAGGCCCGGCAGCGTGAGTGTGAATGCTTCCAGCCTTCGGCCGGCCGGGAGCAGGCGGCCCTGGCGAGGGCTGGGCGGGCGTGCAGGGGAGAAACAGTGCAGGGAGAGTTGGGGTGGGCAGCAGAGGGGCCAGCGCAGCAAGCTGGAGCAGGGACGTATGTCCAGGAGGCTGCCGGACAGCCCCCGGGGCTGAGAGCACAGGGGCTGAGCGAGACCTGGGGCCCGGGCACCACCAAGCGCCTACCTGCCAGCTTCCCGTTGTCCAGTTTGAGGCGGCTGAGCGGGTTGGTGCCGTAGAGGAGCACATGCCGCTCAGAGTGGACCAACTGCAGCTCCTCCAGGTTGGCCTTCCGGCCCCGGACACACTGAGGAAGGACCACAGAGCTCCTCAGCCCTTGCCCACCCCTCCCATCGCCAGCGCCCCAGCTGCCCCTCATCTCCGCTCGCCCCGGGGCCTCCCGCCCCACCGCTCCCACTGCCCTTACCTCACCCTCACCTGCCCTCCTCACCTCACACTGGCTCCGGAGCCCCCGCTCCTGCAGCCGGGACCAGATGCTCTGGATGCGGCCAGCGTGCTCCGGGTGCCTGCTGTTGTCCCCGCAGGAGCACTGGTGCTTCAGCATTGCTGAGTCATAGACCAGCCCTGCGGGTGCAGCTGTCAGGACCAGGACCCCACGGCCTCCCCCACCTCCATGGCCACGACCCCCACACACCCACACATTCCTGCCCCCACTGCCACCTCAGCCTGTCACACCCGTCTGCACACCCTGACGCTTCCCCAGGTGGCCTCAGACAACACAGCACCAGCCAACGCAGCGGCCACAGAGCCGCTGCCTCCCTGCCGAGCTGACCTGACTGCTCACACGCCAACACGTCACCAGGCCCTCAAGTGCGCAGGGTCTACGCACAACGAGGCCTGCTGCGCGAGTCTCACACTGGCTGTCAGGACCCCAGAGAGGCCACCAAGGGGCAGCAGAGGAGAAAGAATTCCCAGGAAACCCCAAAACCAAGAGCTAGGGAGCCCACAATGACACTGGCCATGTAATAAGGCAAATACAGCTTTGGAGAAGTGACTCTTTCAGTCTGACCTGTGGGAAGACTATGGGGAGGACTAGCACGGTGCTGTGGGAAGGTGAGTTCCTGGGCATCTCAGGACACCAAGGCCCTTCAAAATGCTCACACTGTTTCTCCCAGGGATGCCACTCCCCAAGAGTGAACCCTGGGAAATGATGCCAAGCATGAGTGAAGATTTATGCAGCAGGAAAGTAAATAAGCAATAATCTCAACGTCCAACCACTAAGAAATCACTGAACAAAAATAAAATACTATGAGACTCTCAGTTTTAAAACTTAATGTGTTGGCCGGGTGTGGTGGCTCACACCTGTAATCCTAGCACTCTGGGAGGTTGAGGTGGGAGGATCACTCAAGGTCAGGAGTTTGAGACCAGCCTGAGCAAGAGCGAGACCCTCGTCTCTACAAAAATAGAAAGAAATTAATTGGCCAACTAAAAATACATATAGAAAAAATTAGCCGGGCATGGTGGCATGTGCCTGTAGTCCCAGCTACTTGGGGGGCTAAGGCAGAAGGATTGCTCGAGCCCAGGAGTTTGAAGTTGCTGTGAGCTAGGCTGATGCCACAGCACTCTAGCCCAGGCAACAGAGCAAGACTCTGTATCAAAACAAACAAACAAACAAAAAAAAACCTTAATGTGTCAAGAAGCATTCATAACATGTTAACCAAAGAAAGCAGGGTACAAAGCATAGTTAACGTGTTGACGGCGTCCGCACACATACACGCATGGCTAGAACAAAGACTGGATTGAACTATGGCAGAATTTAAGAAGGGTAACCTCTGGGTGGTGGGATACTGGCTGGTGATTTTTATTTTATTCTTATGCTTTTCTGTACTTTTCAAACTTTTTAAAATAATTCTGAGCTCTTTCTATAAGCAGAATGACAGTAATAAATGTCATTTCAAAAATGGGCTGAATACGTTGGCAGGAGACTGCAATTCTTATCCTGGCCTGACTCGCACTTGCCGTCTGACCACAAACCTGCCACCTTAGATTTCCCAAGCCGTGTTGTCCTCCATGGCCAACCAACTAACCACCTGCTCCACCAGCCTCACGGGCGCTGCGTGGCTGTAACAAGACTAAGCGCTCGGTGGCCTCTAAAATGTCCTGAGCACCAGGACACAGACATGGGCTTGTGCAGCTGAGCCTCCCCCTCCTGCCTCCCCCTGCTGCCACCCCAGTCTCACCTGTGGTGAAGCGCGGGCTCCCAGCGGGGGTCTCTGAGCTGGAGAGGACTCGGGCCTGGCTGGCGGGCTCTGAGGTTGCCAGCGAGGCAGACGCGGCTGGGGAAGACTGAGTCCTGGACAGGGGCCGGTGTCCGCCCGGAGCCAGAGGAAGCAGCAGAGAGTCCCCGGTGCTTCCCGCGTGGAGCCGCCCGGCCAGTCGCTGCTGCTCCCAGAGCAACACCTGAGGGAAACAGGGGGGCGTCAGTCTCCAGTTTCTCAGCGTCCTGTCCGAGGTCTCGGGAGCCGCCAGTGGTCAGACTGACCACCCAGCTCCACCAGAGCTCCCTGGGACTCTGAACCCAGAACGCAGGTGAGGGGACTTGGGTCCAGCTCTCACCAGGATCTCCTCATCTCCAGACTGTGCAGCTGCCCCAGAACACGCATATGGCCCCAAGTGTCACACTGTGTCCCCTCACCCAATTCACATGTTGAAGTCCTAGCCCCCAGTACCTCAGAATGTGACCTTATTTGGAGACAAAGTCTTTACAAACAGAGGTAATTGAGTGAAAATGAGGTAATCGGTGTGGGCCTTAATCCACTATGACTGCTATCCTCATAAAAAGAGGAAATTTGAACACAGACACAGACAGAGGGAAGACCATGCAAAGATACAGGAAGAAGATGACCCTCTGTAAGCCAAGGAGAGATGCCAGACAGCGCCAGACAGCTCCAGACAGCTCCTTCCCTCGCAGCCCTCAGAAGGAACCAACTCTGCCAACACCTTGATTTGGGCTTTCCTCAGCCTCCAGAATTGAGAGGTGACAAATTTCTGCTGTCTCAGGCACCCAGTCTATGGTGCCTGTCCCAACAGCTCTAGCAAACGAACACACCACGGCTTGATTCACACGGTGAGAGCGTTCTGGTTGGAGTGCTCGAGTCTAGTCCTTCCTGCCTCTTGCCCTAACCACCTGTGCCTGGGTACAGGGGCGACACGCTAGGACAGGGTGTGCATGGCTCCACGGAAGCCCAGACTCCCTGCTAGAAAAGGGACAAGGCTTCACCCTGAGACTGGCAGGCCGCTGGAGCATGTGTACGTGTGCGTGTGTGTTTATGTGTGAGTGTGCATGTGCGCACACGTGTATGTGCCGCATCTTGGTGTGGATGCAGCACCCAGGATCTTGTAGGGTAACCATGGGTCCCAGCACTGTCCCCTGCACTGCTACCACATCTCCCTCCCTTCCTCATTGCACGCTGAGCCGCAGGGTCTTGTACACGCTCTCCGAGGGGCGTGCGGGCATGGCCGTACCTGCGGGTGCTGCTGGAGAGGAAAAGGGCCTCTGGCTTCGGGCTGTGCGTGGCTCAACTCCCTGTGCTCTGGGCCGTCGTCCTGTAGCGGCCCCGCTGTGCCCCCATCTGTCTCGAGGTCCTCAGCCGAGGGGATCTGCCGCAGTCGGGGCTTCTCACTCGGCTTGGCTGGCCTCTGGGGAGGGGAGACGCCTGGCTGAGAGGCCGCGGTGGAGTGATGGGCGTGGGATGGGAGGTGGAGCGCAGGGCCAAGGACTCCAGCACCAAGCAGCTCTGGGCCCCCAGAAGCCACACCCTCCCTCTAGCCCTCCAGGTCCCAGCCCTTCCTAAGTCCCCTCTTATTTCAGGCCCCCGCCAGGCCCCAGGTAAGCACCCACTCAGAACCACCCCTACCCAATTCCTCTCACCTTGATCAGCTGGATGTGAGGTTTGAGCCGCTCCTGGCCAGGCTGCAGTGGGCCCAGCAGTAGGGGGGCGGTGGCACTGGGGGGCAAGGGCTCTGAACGAGTCCGGCTCAGTGGCCGGTGGAGGCCTGACCCGGAGAGCCGCTCGGTGGCCAGTAAGGACTGGGCAAAGTGGAAGGGCAGGTGCCCAAACCCAGGCACTGGAAAGAATGGGGTGGCGGGGGCATAAGGAGGGGACCACGGGGAGCAGTGGAAAGAAGCGAGGGCATGGGGTGGGGACCGGGCACAGCAGGGACATGCACAGAACAGGTGCAAGGGAGGGACAAGAAGCAGGGGTCCCTTCCCAAGCTTGGCCCTTAGCAGGGTGCAGGGATTCCCCCCCCCCAGAGGAGCAGGGACTCACCAGTCAGCAGGGAGGCATGAGAGACTGAGGGGTCCAGGAGGAGAATGGGCTGCAGGCGGGAGGGCAAGGTGCCCCCAGCCTCGGCCTCCAGGCCGTGGGGCAGGAAGAGGGGAGCATGGGGGCTCCCCAGGACCGGCCCCCGAGGGCCCAGAGTTGGATGGGTCCTGCGGTCACCATCAGCCTGGGAGAGAGGTGGGGAGAAGTCACGGGGGAGAATGTTCCAGCAGAGAGCAGTGGAGGTGATGGGGTGAAGCAGTAGGAAAAGGGAGTGTAAGAAGCTGGGGGGCCTGAAGTAGGGGTTGGCGCCCCAGCCACTCACCCTGGTAGGGGCAGGACGCCCCCGTGTGATTGCGGGCAGCAAGGACACTGTCGGCAAGGCGAACAGGGCCAGAGAAATCTCCTGCAGCCGCAGCCGCTGGCCCAAGAGCGCCTGCCATGGGGAGCAGGGCCAGGGGTCACCGGTCCCAGCCCTCCACCCCGGCACACTCCCCAGAACCCCCAGAGGCTCTGCTGCGGGCTGCCCAGACCCTGCAGCCCCAGCCCAGGTCGGCTGTCTGCTGGAAGAAGGCTGAGCCTCAGAACTGCCCCAGGAGAGCCCAGTCCTGGCAAGGCCTTACCTCCGAGCCCAGGACAGGGTTAGGGCCATGCTCGCTGTCATTGGGGGAGCTGCACCCTGACACGGGTGTGCTGCTACTACTGGGGGAGGAGTCTGGGGTGGGAGAAAGGAGGTGCATCAGAGGCCGTAGTGGGCAAGAGGGTACCCAGAAGCGGCCTCTTCCCTGATGGGCAGCCTCTGCTTCCTGCCTTCTTCCCATAAGAGCAGAGCGAAGGCAGGCCACGCCTAGCCTACAGCACCTGGGGACTAGTTTTTCATCTGCCCTTTCCTGGGCAGATGTCAGCTGAGCCAACATCTAGGCAGGGTAGGAGTCAGCACCTCCCCCAACCCCCTCCGGCAACATGCCCTGTAGGACACGCCCTGTATGACCACACAGCAGCCCTGAGGAGGGGACCCCCATCTGGATGGGACCTGACCCAAAGGGGCAAGACCTGCCAGGATCGAGGCTGGCAGCCGCCCTCACCTCCGAGGGTTTCCGCAGGCCGCCGCCGGAGGCTGGGTGGCGCGCTCTCCTTCCTGAGCAGCGGATTCTTTCTGCGCTCCAGGGACTTCTTGGGCTTGTAGCGCAGTTTCAGGTTGGGCTCAGAGACTGCAGAGAGCACCAGCATTACTCAGGCCCCCACGCCACCCTTTGGTGCCTCCCCCCCAGTCACCTCTGGGTGAAGGCAAGAGAAGGCAGGGCCAGAGAGAAGACCATAGCCCACGGACCGGGGCCCCCACCCTCTGCACTGCTGACCTGCATCTGAGGCCCTTCCCCCTTCACTTCCCGGCAGGGTCCCACTCGTGTGCCCAGCTCACCTGTCTTGCGCAGGGGGAAGTGCTCTGGGGGGTCACTGGGCAGGCTGGGCACAGGAGGCAGAAAGCTGCTGAGCATGGAGCAGGCGGCTCCTTCTGTCTCCAAGGGCTCGAGAGTTCTGTGGAGGGAGCGCCCAGGCACTTCAGAGGGGCGGTTGCTGCACAGGCACCTTCCTGAGCATGGCACCTGGGCCTGGGACCTGCTAGGAAGGCAGCGGCGGGCAGGGCCAGCAGCACAGGGCCGGCAGGAATGGGGACTGTCTCCAGGGGGCAGCAGTGGGCCACCCATCCTGCTCTGATCTAGGCAGAGAAGCCAGGTCCCAGTGCCTGGGGGATGGGCCCAGTGGAGACTGTCTGTCTCCTGGGGCAAGAACCTGCTCTAGAACTGGCACATTTTTGTGCTTAGGGGAAGAAACAAAGAGAGAAGGGACTCCTGTGTAAGAGAAGAAAGCCAGCAGGACGTGTGTGGGGGCCTCAGGTGGGGTAGGGAGAGATCATGGAAAGAGAGAAGAGGGCAGCGATGAGCGGAGAGAGATAGGGGCACATTATGGGTCAGGCGAAGGCACCTGGGGAGGAAGAGGCAAGTATGCATGTGGGGCACGGTGGGACAGGAGGGAGCAGGTGGGGAGAGGGAGTTACCTGTAGGGGATGCTGGGGCTATTGGGGTGGCCTGTTCTCTCTAGGGCTGCCTGCTGCTTCTTCAGAATCACCTCCGCCAGCTTCTGCTTGACTACACTGCTGGCTACGGCACCTGCAGGGGGGAGTCATGTATGGGCTGGGAGTGGGTGGATGGGCAGCCTCCTGGGTTCACTGTCTGCCCATTGCCTTGTCCACACCCCCAGTGTGATGCACCCTAGGGACTCTTCAGGCAAGAGACAAGCGGAGGTCCCACCCCTCCCTGGAGGCTGCAGACCCCCCTCGCCCAGGCTGAGTCAGGCAAGCAGAGGGAGAGCAAGTGGCTGGTGGCCCAGCTGCTGTGCCCCTCGCCGCTCCCAGGCCCACACAGGCGGCCATGGGCTCCCAGGCTGGGGCAGCACCCATCCTTACTTCGTTTGCTTTTGTCCTTGTTGAGAAGCTGCCGCAGCTCTTGATCCTGCTGCCCGCCCTGCAACTCGGTCATTGGTGTGTCCATGGAAAGCTGTGGGCAGGGCCAGCAGCCCAGGAAGGGGCAAGGCGTTGAGGACTGAGGCTGGGGTCTATGGAGGCTGGAGGGAGGGAGGCTGTGGGCCACACCCAAGGTCAGCCCGTGTTCGGGGAGCTCTGTCTTTACCCTCATGGGCTCTGACGAGTGATGCTGCTGCAGGCCTGCCAGGAAGAGGTGACGGTGCAGCCGCTGGGGACGCTGCAGGGCCAGCAGTGTGGGCTCTGGTGGGGGCTCCACCGTGGGCCGCTGGCCTACCCGCAGGTCCATGGGCTGGGGCTGAGGGCCTGGCGTGTCTGCACGGGGTTTGGGGCAGCCTGGGGACAGGGAGAGAAGGCAGGGTCAGCAGGAAAGTCCGCCTGCAGGTGCACGGCTGCAGCCCACTCGGCCTCCTTCGGGCTCATTGAACAACGGCAGCACACCCTCAGGGGCCTTGTCCTCACTTAATCCATGCCGTGGTCCTGCAAGGTGAGTATTATCAACTCTGTCTTACCCATGAGAAAGGAGGTCATACCATCTGTACACAGTTACGCTCTGTCGCTGGGGGTGTCTGACTTGGGCTTCTGACTCCAGGCATGGGGCTTTTCCACAAAATGTTCCTCCCCCGGCATGGGGTCGAGGGCTACGGGGATTTAGTGCTGGACTGCAGGCCCCACAGTGGTATATTCTGGGCCCTGCCCTCTCCTTCCCTTTGCCCACCCCCAACCTCTGAATAAGAGGCTTTGCTCAGCTGCCCGATAATGAGCTGGGCTCAAAGGAAGCGATCAGGCAGGCAAACAGGCCCACGCTGTTCCTCCTCCAACCCCAAGGGGCCTGGCAGGCCCTCACCACCCTCCCATGCTCTAGCCCTGGTCATCCAATAAAGAAGTGATGCCTCAAGCCTACAGCAGTCCTGGCCAGCCACCTGGGCCTGCAGAGCCTTGTGCCCAGGGCAGGTTCCTCAGCTGCCTGGGCCCACGTGCCCCCGGAACCGCTCCTGGGTGCCTCCATGGCAGCTCTGGGCCTGGCCCAGGGAAGATGGCAAGCTTGGTTGCCTCTTCTCAAGTCCTCTGCACCCACTCCAGAAGCACCCAGTCTGTGGGTGCAGGGGCTATTTATAACTGGTCGTCAAACCAGGGTCTGTGCCAGCACAGTGGCTGGGCCGAGCAGCCAGGGAGGCCGAGACACTTGGAGGTGGAGCTGCTGCAGGGAGACTGCCCTGAAGAAGGGGAGGCAGGCAGGGAGCAGGCCCCCCCAGAGCAGTTCCAATGCCAGGCATCTCCCAACAGACAGCCACAGCTGTTCTCTGGGCCTGGGCTAAGGAGGGCTGAAAAGGCCTGGTGGCAAAGCGCCAATCAGGGAGTTAGGAATCACAGCCCCCAGGCCCATCCCAAGCCCTCCTAATCCCGATGTTTGCATCTGTAGCACGTGTGCACAATCATCTGCAGACCCTGTCACCTCATCACCCCCACCCATCCTGGGTGGTAGTTATTACTATTCTGTTATCCCAAATGAGGAAACTGAGGTTCGGAGGCGAATGGACTCATCCAGTCTCCCATCTAGGGACAACTAGCATGGGTTCTGGTCCCACCGAGGCCAGTGCTCTGTTTTTCCACCAGCTTTCACGAAGTCACCAGCCCTCGAGAAGGCTTCTCACTGGGCAAAGGAAGAGAGGCTTGCAGCATGTTGTCCCTAAAGGACACACACTAGCATTCTCTGTGGGATGGACATGACATTGGAGCTGCCCCACCCATATCAAGAGCCCTGAAGGGATGGCTGTGCACCCATATGTGGCCTGCAGCAGATGCGTGGCTTCGATGCCCCCACCCCTGTTCACGTGGCCACCTAAGGAATCCCGATTCTTATTCTGGTTGAGTCTGGGCCTCCAGTGCTAACACACTCCTGCCCCGGGAAAGGTCTTAGTCCTCCCATGTTCTGGTCTCCTGGCTTCCTGGCGTGACTCCCTGATGATGGTGCAAGAGGAGCTTAGGGGAACCCAAGGTGGGCCACCTGGACCCCAGACCAGTGGCTTCAGCCACATAGACTATGAGCAGCCCCTAGCAGTGGCCCCATCCCTCGCTCTCAGCACAGCCACTGCCTCCAGAGCAGAAGAGAACACAGGAGGGGCTCTGCCTAGGACCCTAGAAAATACTTTTCAGGGTGCTTTAGCATTTGGGGGGCTACACAATCTGATCCTAACTTGGCTTCTCTCAACTTGCTCTCCTCCATCTGCACAAGACCCTCCACCTTGGCCATCAGCTTCCACCCTGTCACAGCCTGTGTATCTCCCATCCTCTGAGCGTTTCCTCCCAATGTCTCCTGCCTGTGCTGTCCTCGTCCCTATATTCTACTCTTCCAAATCCTACCCTTTGCTTAAAGCCCAGCTGGAGTCCTCCCTCTTCCCCGGACCCAGTGCAGTGCCCAGGGTCCTCCCTCTTCTGCACAGCAACCGTGCTGGCTGTTGCACGTCGGGAGAAGCACGTGGTGGGCAGGCACCATGTCTGTGTTACACTCCATAGAGCAGGGACTTGGATCCATCCAGTGCTCATTATCCCCCGCACCTACAATAGTACCTAGCACGTGATCGGCACTCAGTCAACATGAAATCAATGAATAAATCCCTGCATCTTCCATAAAACGCCTAGAAAGCGATCCTGGCACAGAGATGGGGTTCACTGATTCTTGAATATTCATCAGGTGTCCTCTCACTTGGCACTAAGCACATACTGCATTCTACTAGTTTTTTCTTTTATGTGTGTGTCCTGTCTCCCCAACTGCTTGTTAGCGTTTGGACAGCCAGGAGGATACCTGGGCTCCCCTGCCCCCTGCCATATGGAGGGGCACCAGGCTGTCTGTCCTGCACTCTGTAGGCCTCTGTGGACACTGGCTGAAGGGAAGGAAGGGCAGGCCTCGCCCAGTCCAGACCTAGCCCTGTGGGCAGGTCCTAAACCAACATGGCCACAGAAGTCCACCCCTCCCCCAGCGCAGCCTCACAGTAGAGGAGGCTCGGCCCAGGCCGGCAAGGGAGAGGCAAGGATGGTGACAGAGCCATCTCACCGGGGCAGCCCTTTAGCTCCCACCTCCCAGTCCTGCATGGGCTGCTACGCCTACCAAATGGGTTGACAAACAAGAACACACCTCGCCTGGTGCCTGACATGGGGCAGGGGTCTGAGTATAAATATTAGCTTCCTTTTTTCCTTCCTGTTTCACTACACCCAGCAAGGACAAGAAGAGCATCCTGTCTTTCCTTTTCCTGTTGTGCTTCCTGGCACGGGGCCCAGCCCCCATCCAAAGCTGTCTATCTTATCCCACTCCTCAGCCCTTCCTCCTGGCACCCCAACTTTGCCCCTCGCCTGGCACCCCCACCTGCCTACTCTCTAGCCGGTCAGCCAGCCACCCTGCCTCTGCAACCCCTCAGCTTCCTGCCTTCCTGGGGCCCCTCCATCCCTCACCTTCCACTCCCCACCAGGCTCCCTCGGGCCTGACTCTTACCTGTGCCAGGGGGGCTGGGACAGCGGGCACCCGGACTCACCTGGGTCCCATCTGCAGAGAGAAGAGAGATGGAGTGAAGGGGCTGCAGGGAAGGGGAAAGGGGGGAGAGAGGGCCAAGTCAGGCCAGTCCCTGCCGTTCCAGCTAAGCACACCCAAACCTGGGCCTCCACCAGAAGCTGACCAAAAAGAGAAAGACCCCACTCCACCCCCTCTACAAATGCCCATGCCAGCTGACAGGGGTTCCTGCTCCCCCTTTCCCCTGCACCCACTGAGTGACCTGAGCTCAGGCCATGCATGGCAAGAACCTAAGGAGGCCCCAGCTCACCCAACAGTGCCCTCAGCCCTCCCTGGTGTGGTCAGATACAATCTTCCCTGGGCAGCCAAACCAGGCTCCCATAGCCTGAAGGGAAAGAGGGCTGGGAGGAGAGGTGGGGCCAGGGGTGGGAGAGCCGGCTGGGGAGGCCGGCAGGGAGATGGGCACAGGCTCAGAAAGGGGCGCAGGCTCAGAAAGGGGCGCAGGCTTGGGGATGGGCCTGGGTCATGGCTTGGAGGCAAAGTCAGACCTGGGGGGAGCTGTGGAGTGGAGTGGTCTGGAATGTATAGCCCGAGGACCCCACATGGGGACCTATTTCCTGCTACTGCCCCAGCCTGTGTCCTCAGCCTCTATGCCCCCGAGAAGAGACCCACTCAGCCTCTTTCCTGGATAACCTGAGATGGAAATCTTTCCCTTTGGAAACAGCTACCTCTCCCAGGCTCCTAAGCCCTGCTCTGGTCCTCCTATGTCATTCAGAACCCACGAAGCCCTATCATAGGGCCAGAGCTGGGCAGCAGCAGAAAGACCCCAGGGAGCCCGGAGGCTGGCTGGGGCAGGACAAGACAGAGGCAAGTCCTGAGGCCGCCTGTCCATGAGGGACACCTTTCCCTCCTGCCATCCCAACTAGTGCCAAGGGGATAGGAGGCCACCTGGGGGCACTGAGTGAAGACCTATGCCGGCCAGCCTTGGGGCAGAAGGGAGACTTTCTGCAGAACGACGGTGGGTGCTACTCTTTGGGTCTGTGTCTTAGGGGCAGCCACAGTTCCTCCTCCAGAAGCTGAGAAAGAAGAACTCCTTGCAGTCCAGTGCTGCTGCGGGAGGGGGCTCTAGGCACAGGGAGACTCCCACCGACAGCCCCAAACACCGGTGCCCGTGCTTCAGTGACAATGTAGAGTCAGGACACACTGCTCCACCTATTCAAATGCTGCCCATCCTTGGAGGTCCGGCCCAACATCTAGTGAAGCTCACCCTGACCTCTCTCCTCCCTTCCCATAGCACTGACCCTGTGTCCCCGCCTCGATGCTCCATCAGTCATGATCTCTGCGGTGCTCCTTGTAAGCCATGCCCACCCGCACCTCACACCTTGCTGGGCACGCGCAGGCTCTGTCACTGGTGACTTAAACACAGTGGCTCTCTCCCGGCCACCTGCCTGACACACAGCATGAATTGCTTCTCAAGGTTTGAGAGCCTCCCAGGCCGACTCCCTCCTCAGGGCAGGGCAACCCCTAACCCTGGGCCTTCTTAGGACCTCCTCTTTCTTCTGCAGGACCTGGTCCCCCAAGAGAAGTTTCCAGACTGGGCTTCAGGGAGCACTCCCAGAGACCGTGTCAGGCTTAGGGTCCCCTGCCTCCTGGGAATTCTCTCCCACCTCCCCTGTGGCCCCCACCTGAGGGCTTGTCTGCAGCATTAGGCTTGGGAGCAGAACCAGGCTCCCGCGCCTTGCTCCCCCAGTAACCACAGATTCCGAACACCGTGCACTCTCTGGATAGGAGAAAAATTAATGGCCCTGAACTCCGTGGTGTTTGTTACCAGACCCAAAAGGGATGTTTTGTGGTGATGATCTATAATATAAACTCTGTTCAGAAAAGCCGCATGTGTGCGTGCATGTGTGCGTGTGGGCTGCCAACAGGGGCTGCTTCCAAAAGCAATTCTTGGGGAAAGTCTGCTTCTCCCCTGATTCCTGGCAATGGCTCTGTGCTGAGGGCCATTGAGTTCAAAAGAGCCCGGAGCAACAGCGATAAGACCTGGGAACAGCTTTCTTTGTGTCCCAGAGAGAGGAAAGTTAGCTAATGGCCCCCAGCCGGTAGCTGCACTGAAGTCACAACATGAATGTCCCGCATTCCTGTTCTGGCTTGAATTCGGGGACCCCTCTTCTCATCAGCCCCTCACTGCCTCTCAGAGAGGGCTATTACAATTAATATGGGGTCAGACTGAAATGATGCGAGGAGTAAGGGGACTTGAGAGGTGGGCCCAGGGCTGGACCCTTCTCCACGCGGCTCTCTGCCAGGGTGGGGAACTCTCCTTTTTGGAATCCTCACTTCTACCTTCCTTGGAGGCAAGTACAGTTAGACTTAAGAAGCACTTTACTTGGTGCTAAGGCATCTAGGCCTACCGAGTCACCTTCCTAAATCAGAGCACCTGATCTCACCCAGAACCAAGGAGCCTCAAAATTCTGCTCCAATGGGCCCACCCCAGCCCTCAGCAACCTCCAGAGTAGACACAAACACCACAATTCTACCCTTGAACACGTGGGACAAGCTGGCTTCCCCACTGCTCCTACCTAATTGCCTCGGGTCCCAGCCTTGGTCTTATCTGCCCAGCAGGTGTGACTTTGCCCCCCACATCTACACAACCCAGCCAGAAACCTGAGCCTCCCAGAGCACCTGCTCTCCCAGCGGCTTCAGGCCCTTTATCGGGGGAGAGGGCTTCCCTAGGAGCACTGCCACCCAGAAGCCCCTCCCAATGCCTCCCGGGTCTTTGTTGAGGCTGTTCCCACCTCCAGGGGCTCCTGAGACTAGCTGAGAAGGAAGTGGGAGACCCGGGCCTCAGCAGCCAGAGGAGAGCAGGAGTGGCAGGGGGCCACAGTCCTGGGCTCAGGGCTGACTCCCTTCACTCCCCAGCTTCCAGCCTCTGGCTCTCTTTCTCTGATACAGGCTGGACAAAGCTTGACCACACCTGAGGGCTGGCAGAGAGAACAAAAGCTAGGGATGAAATGGTTTCAGGAAGATCCAAGAATAAATAAACAGGAGAAAGAACATCCTGGTTGCCAGGCCTCCCCGACACAGAGCGAGGGCTGAGCATGGAGGCGAAGCTCTTCTCCCAGGCTTTACCGATCATTCAGGCCAAGGCCCTCACTTGGCAGAGGAGGAAAGAGCGAGGAGAAGGGCAAGGTCACAGCCACCGGCAGGCCAGTGGTCCAGCAAGGCCAGGCAGTGCAGCGGAAACCCAAAAGGTCAATCTCAAGCACAGGTACTGACAACCTCCATGGGAAGTCACCGATCCAGGGGTTGAAAAGACGAAAACACAGATGAAACTTGGTTTTCACTTTCAAGGAATTTAAAATACAGCCCACAGTCTTAAAAATTTTTGAAAAAATATACTACTTGCAGATACTAAAAAAAAAAAAAAAAGTTCAAAGAGCCCAAAAAAGTGTAAAACAAAAAGTTTCTCACTCATCTTAGACTCCCTAGAACTTCCCTAGAATCAGCCTTTTCTAACAGTTTCTCGTGACCCCCTTTCAGAAATTCTCGATACTGCCCATTGTCTTGGCACTGAACTGCTTCTTGCTCGGATTCATCTAGAACCCAGCAGGGGGCCGAGAGTGGGCTGGAAGCCCCTGCGACATGAAGCTGGCAGGCCCCTCACTGCGAGAGAAGCCAGGGTGTGAAGCACAGAGGACACCGGCTTTGAGATCAGATGGGCCTGGGTTTGAAGCCCAGCCCGCTCCGTGACTGGCAGGGACAGCCTGAAACACAATTCGACCTGGTCAAGCCTGGCTGCCCCTCCTGGAATCAGGAGATAAGAAGACCTGGTTGGAAGAGGCCACCTGAGGTTGGCAACGCTGTGTGTGAAGCAGCCAGCACCCGTGGGTGCTCCCTCAATGGTAGTGGCTACTGTTTGCCTCCTGCAGTTGGCCTGCAGTCTCCTTCTGGTGTCAGCATTTCTATGTCTGGTCCCAGCTCCCCTCCCCTTCCTCTGCCGTAGACCCCATTCTCCCAGATGCACAGCCCTGCCCCTTTTCCTAGCCCCAACCTCTCCCAACTGCAGTCCCTTCCCTTTCTCTCCCACCTGAACTTTTCTCTGTGCCAGGAGTTGTTCTCCTTGCGCCTTACATTTGCTAACTTGTCTAACCCTCACAACAAACCTATGAGGTGGTTACTGTCTGTATCCCCATTAGACAGATGAGTAGACTGAGGCCCAGCAATATGAAATAACTTGTCACACAATGCAGAGTGGCTGAGCTGGGACTCAAGCCCAGGCAGCTGGGCTCCAGGATCCACACTCTCAACCAATACACGCAACAGCCCCACCAGAGCATTTCCACTTGCCACTGGCCAGCTGGCACGGGACACATGCAGGAGCTAGGTGGGCACGGGGAAAGATCGAAAACTCACACAGCCCCGCAGAGACCCATGCCAGCAGCAACCCCCAGCCCTGTGCGGGCGAGAGGGCAGAAGCTGCCTGTTCCACCTTTGGGTGCCCGTGCAGACGATCCTGAATAAATCACTTAGAGCAGCTGCTGACATCGGAGACACCAGGCAGTGATTTGAGACTGGGTGCTGGAGACAGGGGGCTGGTAACATGTTGGCGGGGTCTTGGAGGAGCATCAGCTCAGGTTCTCTGCTCTGGGGTGCCCTGCCCTGTCCCTTCTCTAGGAGCTCCCCAGTGCCTCTAAGACTCTCTCACTGGCATCGCAAAGCAAGCTGCACTGTTTCTTTGCGCAGGCAGAGGGGCCGACCGCCCATCAGGGCAGGGGCTCAGCTGGCGGGTGAGCAACCCAGGATGCCTGCCTACCCAGACGAAGGCCTCCATCAGTCTGAGGCAAGGGGATTGAGCAGCTCTGCAGGCTCCGCAGCTGTGCGCCAGGCAGGAGGCTGGACATGAGGCTGCGGGCCGGCCCTCCTGCCTCCACAGCGAGCAGTGCCCCTGTCCCGCCACCTCTGGGCAGCTGGGGCCCGGGGGCAGCTATTTTTAGCTCTTGACACCTGGGTATTTTGCAGCCGCAGGATGTCCGGTT